CCCCTCCTTCACCCTGTGTTCGTGGTTCCGTGCCGACGACACCGACGTCCCCAACGAGATCGGCACGCTCATCGCGGGTGACGCCGCCATGGTCCCCGGTCCGGCCTACAGTCGGAGGGAGGAGATGGAGTCCGACTGTTCCCTCAGCATCCGGGGGTTGGTGGGGGCCGACAGCGGGATTTACACCCTGCTCATCCGGGAACCGCAGATCAGAACGGCCAAAATCAACCTCGTCGTCTACGGTGGGTGCGAGTCTGGGTGTCAGCTCCCATGGGTGTCACCTGTATTGGGTGTCACCTCCCTTGGGTATCACATCTATTGGGTGTCAGCTCCCATGGGTGTCACCTGTATTGGGTGTCACCTCTACTGGGTGTCAACTCCCATGGGTGTCACCTCCGCTGGGTGTAACCTCTGTTGGGTGTCACCCCTATTGGGTGTCACTTCCCCTGGGTGTCAGCTCCCATGGGTGTCACCTGTATTGGGTGTCACCTCTACTGGGTGTCAGCTCCCATGGGTGTCACCTGTATTGGGTGTCACCTCTACTGGGTGTCAGCTCCCCTGGGTGTCACCTGTATTGGGTGTCACCTCTACTGGGTGTCAGCTCCCCTGGGTGTCACCTCTACTGGGTGTCACCTCCCCTGGGTGTCACCTCCCCTGGGTGTCACTGAGGCTGGGTGTCAGCTCCCCTGGGTGTCGTGGGGGCCGACAGCGGGATTTACACCCTGCTCATCCGGGAACCCCAGATCAGAACGGCCAAAATCAACCTCGTCGTCTACGGTGGGTGCGAGTCTGGGTGTCAGCTCCCATGGGTGTCACCTGTATTGGGTGTCACCTCTACTGGGTGTCAGCTCCCATGGGTGTCACCTCTACTGGGTGTCAGCTCCCCTGGGTGTCAGCTCCCCTGGGTGTCACCTCTACTGGGTGTCACCTCCCCTGGGTGTCACCTCTATTGGGTGTCACCTCCCCTGGGTGTCACCGAGCCTGGGTGTCAGCTCCCATGGGTGACACCTGTATTGGGTGTCATCGAGCCTGGGTGTCAGCTCCTCTGGGTGTCACCTCCCCTGGGTGTCACCCCTATTGGGTGTCACAGAGCCTGGGTGTCAGCTCCCATGGGTGTCACCTCTATTGGGTGTCCCAACCCATGGGTGTCACCTCCCCTGGGTGTCAGCCCCCATGGGTGTTAGCTCCCCTGGGTGTCACCTCTGCTGGGTGTCACCTCTATTGGGTGTCAGCTCCCATGGGTGTCACCTCTATTTGGTGTCACCTGCATTGGGTGTCATCTCTATTGGGTGTGTCATCTCTATTGGGTGTCACCTCCCCTGGGTGTCAGCTCTCATGGGTGTCACCCCTGTTGGGTGTCACCCCTATTGGGTGTCACCGAGCCTGGATGTCAGCTCCCATGGGTGTCACCACCCCTGGGTGGCACCGAGCCTGGGTGTCACCTCCATTGGTGTCACCTCCCCTGGGTGTCAGCTCTCATGGATGTCACCCTTATTGGGTGTCACCTCTATTGGGTGTCCCATCCCATGGGTTCCACCTCTACTGGGTGTCACCTCCCATGGGTGTCACTTCCTTTGGGAGTCCCCTCCGCTGGGTGTCACCTCCGCTGGGTGTCACCTCTATTGGGTGTCAGCTCCACTGGGTGTCACCTCCATTGGGTGTCACCTCCCATGGGTGTCACCTCTATTGGGTGTCCCATCCCATGGTTGTCACCTCCAATGGGTGTGTAACCTCTATTGGGTGTCACCTCCACTGGGTGTCACCTCCCATGCGTGTCACCTCCACTGGGTGTCACCTCCCATGCGTGTCACCTCCACTGGGTATCCCATCCCATGGTTGTCACCTGCATTGGGTGTCACCTCCATTGGGTGTGTCGCCTCCACTGGGTGTCCCATCCCATGGGTGTCCACCTCTATTGGCTGTCACCTCCCATGGGTGTCACCTCCATTGGGTGTCCCATCCCATGGGTGTCACCTACTTTCGGTGTCACCTCCATTGGGTGTCACCTCTATTGGGTGTGTCATCTCTGTTGGGTGTCCCATCCCATGGGTGTCCACCTCCCCTGGGTGTCACCTCCCCTGGGTGTCACCTCCTTTGGGTGTCACCTCCATTGCGTGTCATCTCTATTGGGTGTCACCTACAACGGGTGTCGCCTCTATTGGGTGTCACCTCCCTTGGGTGTCACCTGCAATGGGTGTCGCCTCCACTGAGTGTCACCTCCCTTGGGTGTCACTTCCCTTGGGTGTCACCTCCGCTGGGTGTCACCTCCTCTAGGTGTCACCTCTACTGGGTGTCACCTCCATTGCATATCACCTCCATTGGGTGTCACCTCCCATGGGTGTCACTTCCAATGGTTGTCACCTGCCTTGGTGACATCGTGGTCACGGTGACTTATCAAGGTGACACAGAGGTCAGGGTGACGCTGTGTTCAGGGTGATGTCACCACTGGTGGTGATGTTGCGTTCAGGGTGACATTGTAGCCAGGGTGACAATGTCCCCACCCTGGTGACATCCTTATCGTGGTGACATATCAGGGTGACGTGGTGGTCATGGTGACATTGAGGTCAGGGTGACATCGTGGTCATGGTGGCACTCTTATCGTGGTGACATGGTGGCTGGGGTGACATGGTGGCCATGGTGACACTGGTCAGGGTGACATCATGGTCGGGGTGACGTGGTGGCTGTGGTGGCACCATGGTCAGGGTGATGTGGTCATTGTGACATTGTGGCCACGGTGACACTGTGGTCAGGGTGACATGGTGGTCATGGTGACATTATGGCCGTGGTGACACTGTGGTCAGGGTGACATGGTGGCTGTGGTGACATGGTGGCCATGGTGACGTGGTGGCCATGGTGACGTGGTGGCCGTGGTGACGCTGGTCAGGGTGACACTGTGGTCAGGGTGACATGGTGGTCATTGTGACATTATGGCTGTGGTGACACTGGT